AGAACCAACTTCACCTACAACACATATAACTTAAATGAGAATTACCGCATTTACTCGTGCATAGCACAGTTTTTCAAAATTATTTGTTCTTAATATTAGGGTCTGTGTATCACATAGAAAATAATGTGTGCGCGTCAACAGTTTATAATTACAAATTTTGTTTTTTTCTAAGGAAAAGCCAACAAAAATCATGCCATAACCTGAGAGCTTTGCTCAGGTCACAAATTTCACATCTTCATAACACAAATTGTGATGAAGCTCATCTGACCAATCAGGGAGTGGTTTTGTGTGTTCTCAAAATCAAATTTAGCTCGCCACATGGTCAACGCAATGCACTGTAACCATATCAAGCAAACCCAAACGTAATAAAAAATTTAACACACTGAAAAAAAAACTGGCTCAAATGCTGTCAGCACACGGAGGAAAACCAAAACTATCGGGAAATGGGCGGCCATCAAAGACTAAAAAACCCACTAGATTTATGGGACACTGCATTCCAGATCCTCTTATAGGGAAATAAAGAAATACCACAAGAGGATATGTCGTCTACTGGTCACAGAGAATTGTAAGGAAAACTCTTATTGTTACCGAAACTGCAAGAATTCTCTTTGCATCTCACTGTGCTTCCACATCTACCACACAGAGTTAAATTTTCCGAATATGTGAAAATAAAGAGGGTTTGGGTGCACCAAGAAACTTTGAAGTCGTTGAAAAACGTGTAGTGTTTTCAGTGTAAAATTATTTTAGCGCAAGCTCCAGAGATTAAGGCGGACATTGTGTGTCGTGTGTTTGAAAGATATTAAAACTCACTAATCGCGTTAACTTCGAGAAGTGGTTTCCTGCCCACAACCTTCTCCAGTTTGTCTGTTCTCGGTGCCACTGTCAAACATGACACAGGCAACTGCGATGGGATGTAACCTGTAAAGAATGAAAAATATATTTTATTTCCCTCTGAATAAATGAAAAGATGTTCATAAAAATATTCATAGCAACTGCTTAATATACAAGGAAAATCTGCGGGCATGCAAGTGTAACAAAGGTTACAATAAATTAAAATGCGATGTCATCATATGTTATAACCAGGGCTGTGGAGTCGGAGTCGGTAAAAATGTACCGACTCCGACATAAAATCTCAAGAACACTTTCGCTACCATGTGGGCTGGCGGCGGCGGGAGATTCGACGACGCATTGAGCCACATGGTGTGGGATGCCTTGTAACTTAGGCTCCGGTACCTTAAAAATATAAACTGTCTACAAATCAACAGAGTTCTGCATTAAGCATTAGCCATATATATAAATACTTGGATAATGGGAACGACCCGTTCTTCAAGTGCCTGAGCACTGCGGGTCCCTACTTTTCATTAGCTTGACCTATGGACATTCGGTAGGACTCCTTGGACGAGGGATCGGCCCGTCGCAAGGCCTCTACATGTACACAGGACAGCACAACACAGAAAAACGCGGACAGACATCCATGGCTTGAGTGGGATTCGAACCCACGGTCCCAACGACCAAGCAGCACAAGTTCCATGCCTCAGACCGCGCGGCCACTGCGGATCCCATATGTTTAAATATAGGTTATAAGTCTAAAAAGTAGTCTGATGATTAACGTGGTGGTGATGAAATCGCTTGTGGTACCATTTACCATTTTACCAGGTTTAGCATTATTAATATATATTCAGCTTTCATGAAGGAGTCGGAGTCAGTGCCGGAGATTTTGGTACCGACTCTGCAGCCCTGGTTATAACTAAAAGGCATGGCAAATGACATAACATTCCTGTGCCTAAGAACCATGTCAGGAGAGTGGAGATGAATCAAACTAGACTAAATGAAGTCAGTGGTCAGCTTCATATTCTGGTTTATTTACCCCAAAGGAGCCCCCACTTCTATTCAACTTACTCAAATGTTGTAAAATGACATTTTGATTAAAAAAAAAAGCTTTCATACCAGATGTGAAGAATTCACTGTTCAAAAGTTCTTCAACTTTCGGCCTGCACTTGGGATCTGGCTGGAGTGTTGCTCGAATCAACTTAATGGCAGATGACGATATCTGTGATAAGGGTGGTATCTTATATTCGCACCTCTTTATCCGAGAGTACGTCTCCTTCAGTGAACTAGTCTCAAATGGTGGCTTCCCAATCAACAAAGTGTACCTACAGAAGAAAATAAATTATTGTAAAGAAAACCCCCACAAACAATAAAACCTGTGATGTGCAAAGTTCAAACCTTGTAGTGAAAAATGTGGTTAGAGAAACCAAAGACACACGAAACTTAATATTAATTATTAGTAAATATGGGAAAATTATTGTCAATATTTATTGAGACGACATCAAAGTTACTGGCCGAAAGTCGTCAGGGCGATCGAACGCAAAGGTAGCGGTCAGTTCTAAGAAATGCAAAAAGTAAAGTCAATACCTCTGAAACGTTGGTTAACATCGACCAGACTACACAGCGCAATAACCCAGAAGACAGAAATCTTCAATATACACTTGGTGCAGTATATCTACATAGCTACTGAAGACGGGCAGGCAGATGCAAAATGTCGTGTATTATACTGAACGCCTGCACCACGATGCACAAATATTACAATTTTTCCATGAATAAACAAAAATGTGACACACAAACCTGCGAGCAAGGGACGGTCTGCTGAACTAATAATATTAAAGTGAGTATGTTTCAGTGGTTAGCTAACGTCCATACACCGTTTTAAGATTTGTCAAAGCTTGTCTGAACCTTTACTCCTAAGAATTCTACAATTCACTATTTGGATTCATATTTCACAGTTCAAAAAAAAAAAAAATGTGCTGAAGATACATACAAAATACAGCCAATCGACCATATGTCAACTTCAAAACTATGCCCCTGCTTGCTCAGGATTTCTGGGGCAATGTAGTTGGGTGTACCACATAGTGTCCTGAAAAACAAACAACAAAAACATTCACTACAAGCATAAATAAATTTCAGAGTAACAAAGGATTAAACCTCACTTATTGGAGTAATACCTAGTAATACTATTCTCTGTTCATTCTTACTTCAAACCAAATACGAGGCGCGTCCCAAAAGTAAGTTTCCCACTCGTCCCACAGCTAGCAAACCTTATATTGCGCGAAGCGACTGTGCGTACTGACGTAGCATGGCGCATGCACTAACGGCACTTCCCGCGTTCTCACAGTAGCATCGTTGCAGCTGTTGAAGATGGAGTTTCTTATTCCAGCTCCCGCCGACTGTGAAGTGCGGTCAGTGATAACGCTAGGCCGCACACGG